TTACACGCTAATAAAGCTGCTTGTCCTTTATTAACTCTATCTCTATCTCTTTTTATCTTGAAAACTTTTCTTTTTTTTTTTTTTTTTTTTTGCATTTGTATAAAATTTGTTTAAATGAATAATCCAACAAATTATTCTGAAACATTCGGAAATAATATTTCGTAATGTATATATAGACGTTAAAAAATTATCGAATATAATATTTTATCGGAGTATCATCCGTATCGGTGACACGTGAAATTCATATTAAATGTTTACTAAATGACGATATGAAAAAATCAAGAGATTTATCGTATCGATTAATTGAAGTGGATATTGGTGCGAATCACGTTTGGGAAGTACGCGTGAAATTAAAAAGACATTATCGCGATTCTCTCACGGGGATTTACGAAACGTCGATCTCCGGATGTTTCACGATGGTAAAATATTATATAACCAGAGAGGGAAGATATGTTTAAACGTGTGTCTTGCGGAATATTCTTTTTTTTTTTTTTTTTTCTTTAGCTAAAAAATCGGTAGGTAATGTCATTCGTACGAGAAGGGAAGATCATAAATTTTATCCCTCCAAGTTGAGACCTCACTTTTCTAGAATAAATAAATAAAAAATGGGCGTAGGGTAATAATGTATGAGTGAAAGGGAGAGAGAGAAAGAGAAAGAATATCATGATGGCGATCACTTTTACCTTTGCTCGCTCGAGTCTGAGGTTTTCCGGAAGGAAAATATTTCTCTGGAGTAAATAATTTTTATCCTCGACAAAGAAAAATATTAATATACCTAAATCAAAATTAATTATTCTTCGTTAATTTTACTCTTTCTCGTATTTATTTGTATACGTATTTTTAACCATGAAATATAATCCCTCACAAAATAAACCCGAAAATATTCAATTAATTAACGGAGAGATAAAAATTCGATGTTGTTTTATGCTTTGTTTTTTCTCCTTCTTTCATTTTATTACCGTATAAAGTAACAATTTTCGATAGAGATCTGGATGGTTTTTATTTTTATATTTTTACTCCTCGAAATTAGATTTAAAACAAAGTATTTTATTTTAAAATACCGTTCCTATTTTTATTTTTTTTTTTTTAGTTTTTATTTTTATTTTCGTTATTTATACAAGCGACTAACGTCATACATTATTCCTGTTGTTGTGAATAACTCTACCGTGTCATATTAAAAATTCAACATTCTTCTTTTTCGCGACTTGTGGCGTATCGTACATCGAACTTAGATATTCTTTGAATATCGAGTTCACGTTCTATTTCAAAGTTGTCTTTTACTTATAACGACCATGTAGATGCTTACATACATACATGCATACCTTATGTGCATATATAAGAAAAATAATAAGGATACGAAAAATAAATGAGAGATAGAGAGAGAGAGAGAGAGAGAAGAGAGAAATACGGATAGATGGACAGAAAGACATAGAAGATGAAAACTGAAATGTAGAACCAAACCATCCTCAAATATCCTTTGAAGCGAATATATGTTCCGAATATAGTCATGAATATGACAGCCTTACTTAGAAACCTAGTCATGAAACATTTTCAGTTAAATTCGTGTATAGCCTAACCGCTAACGGTCATAACTACTTTACGGATGCCACGTTAAGGAGAGTTCCCTTTGGTTTCATGATAGATTTCAAACTCGTAACTCATAATTCGAGACACAACGGTTCATTAATACATATATATAACATTATCTTGTAAAATAAATATTAATTTTTATCAGTTGCCTTTTTTTTAAATATAAAGCATACTTATTTTATACAATGAATCTGTTTAACGAAAATATTGGACGATTTAGAATGAACGTTGAACCTTTTGTAAGATTAAAAGTTAACAATTATGATGGAATATAAAAATAATGTGGATCTATTTAAAAATATATATATACATATATTATTTAAAAAATTCAATGATCTAACCTATGTCTGCGATATCATAGAACAAGATTTTCTATGTAAATAGATATTAGAATTTCGAAGATATTTGTGCGATAAATGGATAAGGTAGAACATGTAACCAGAAAATCACGGTTCGGGTATGATTCGATCGTAGCCTTGGAGGAATCGAAAGGAAGAGAGGATAGGAGAAAGAGGGAAGGAGAAAGAGAGTGAGAGAGAGAAATTTACTAGCTTCCGTACCGCATACGTAAGTAAACGTCTGATCTGATCTCCATGGAATATAATGAATCCACTGAATATCGTTTAAAGGAACGCCTCGTGCCTGTGCTATCAGCGAAGTAAATGGAATAGAGGATCATCTAACTCCACCTGTGGCACCAAAGAAAGAGAGAGAGAGAGAGAGAGAGAGAGAGAGAGGAAGTTCAAGCAAAGAAAGCATTTTTCTGTAGGATACTGAGAAATCAACGTTTTATGAGGAACATCTTTAAATTGTGATAGGAAATCGACGTGGAATAGATTAAGTCGAAATTCGTTGGAACTCGAAATCGAACGATCTCGAAGACCTCGTCGAAATTTTATGATCTCGTTCTATGAATTACTTAAGAATTGCAAGTGGATTCTTTGAGGTGTTGAATTCTTTTCTTCTTCTTTTTCGAAAAAAAAAAAAAAAAAAAAAAAAAAAAAAAAAAAAAAAAAAAAGTAAATTAATTTCTATTAAATGGTAGAGGTGTTATGGTGAATTTATATCTCATAATCTCGTTTCACAAATTACTTTGGTGAATTGAAT